CCGGTCTGAAGCTTGAGTGGTTTCGCATTCTTCCTTGTGCTCGCCGCGCGTCTCTATCTGAAATAACAAACTTCTTGAGCTGATAATAATATATGCGCTTGATTATTGACAAGCTTTGGAAACCCGGTCCTGTGAGAAGCTGACAAACGCGGGACACATTCTGTGACACAATCAGAAAGAAAAAGACAAACGCGGGAGTGGGGCGCGGAAAAAAGGCGAAGCCAAGGAGCACGTTATTTCTTCAGCAAACGTGAACAAACTGCCTTGTCTTAATCTTTATTATCACCTTTTAGACTAATATGAACTGGGAATGATGGAATGACTCTCTAACAGAGGCTACATTTGCTGCTGAATATTACAGACACAGATGAGAGGTTTTCACTGACTGGAGGCTATACTCAGGGCCGGCGCTTCCATAGAGGCGACCTAGACGGCCGCCTAGGGCGGCAGTATAGAGAGGGCGGCATCCGCGACACCTCCCTTACCACCCGCGTCCTCCGTTATGTCTGCGACACCTCCCTCACCACCCGCGTCCTCAGATATATTCGCCCATAGACGACAGAATAGAGAGGGCGGTCTCAGCGACACCTCCATCAGCACCCGCGTGTCCTCAGTTATATCCGTGCATAGGGCGGCAGAACTGAGGTCTGCTACACCCGCACGTCCTCAGTTACAACCGCGCATAGGGCGGCAGAATAGAGAGCGCAGTGTCCGCGACACCTCCCTCCCTCCCTCCTTCAGCACCCGCGCGTCCTCAGTTATATCCGCGCATAGTGTGCTGATTAAGAGGTCTGCGACACCTCACTTCATTTTCATAACCGGTCACTTTCATTTTCACATTAGGGTTGAGGGCGGCAGTTCAGCTTGCTCCGGCCCTGGCTATACTTTGTGTTGTTTTGAACTTAATTAAGGACGAAATGTCTGCTTTGTGTAGTTCTTCTGTAGTTGGTAACATATCAGAGACTATAAGGGTCTGTATGTGTTCATATATCTTCATTTATTTATTTACTTTATATAATTACAGACGTTACATTAGGCTATTTCGCACCGTCATTGATCTGCAGTTAAAATCAACTAATGTTCATAGAAAAGTTAGTAATAAACATTTATACACAAGTATTTATGTGTGTAAAGCATCTGTTTTGTGAGAAGTGCTTTTCATATGATATGTGAACGACCTGTGCAGCTTTACTGTAGACATTTTCTCGAGCGAAAATGACGTCGACTGAAACTTTGTCATACACCACGCCCACTAAAAGGGTACCCTTGGTAGTGGAAACGCAAGCCTGGTAAAGGTGACCCGTACCGACCCGAACTGTACCATACTGTACCAGTCAGTGGAAACAAGCCATTTGGTCCAGGGTCAAAACCAAATTTTTAAGCACTGTAAATGAATAGATATACTCAATTCTTTCAAATGCCTTATGGTCATCTAAAGAAATTAAGTCCTTTGGACTGGTATTATTTTTAGGTAAATAAATAATATTAAATAAGCAACAAAGGGTGTAAGATAACTGTCTCCCAACAATAAAACCAGTTTGATCTGGGTGAATTATCTTTCTCATGACTGACTCCACTCTGATTGCCAGCACTTTTGGCAGGATTTTATACAGCAGAGTGAGCTGATCGGATGATAAGGTTCACATTTAAGTGGATCCTTACTCTTTTGAAGAAGTACTGTTATAACAGCCGATGTCATGAAGGGGGGAGTGATTCCGATACAAGAGCTTTAGCAAATACCTTGCACAACAGGGGTGTTAACTTGGCACAAAACTTCTTATAAAACTCAGCCGGGACGCCATCAGGGCCTGGTGCTTTTCTGATTTTTATTTTTTTTTTTGTATTTTTAATTTTAGAAGGTGTTAAAATCCCTTCTTTTGTCAACTGATCTAAATCACAGAGGGATGGTAATTCTTAATAATTAAAAAAGCTCTCAATACGTTCAATTAAGTTTACCTTAGAGCTGTAAAGAGTTTTATAGAAGTTTTTAAATTGATCACTAATACCCTGTTGTTCAGTAATAATACTGCCATCATCCTTACTAACTGCTACTATAACGCCAGCTGCTGAGGATTGTTTCAGTTGGTAACACAATAACCTGCCAGCTCGTTCACCATGTTCATAATGAATCTGGCGTGATCTTATGTGGAGATCCTCAAGGAGTCATTCCGCTTGCAGAATAAGTATTTTTTTAAAGGGGTGGTCCAGAATGTTATTTTTAAGGCTTGGTTGTGTTAATAAGATGCAAAGCAATGTGTGCTCATGTTTAACTTGAAGGAAATCGTGTTATTTTTTCATAAATCTCACTTTGATTATACACAGCTACTCAGCTAACATGAAAACGACTGTCATATTTCCTAGTTTCTCTAAAAGGCCCACCCTCAAGTGACTCTGATTGGTCATCATCATAATATGCTGTGATTCGCCGATCGGCTCCACGTCACGCCCTGACAAGCACGCGCGTTTTGTGTAAACAGTCAGTCAGTCAGTCAGTCAACACGTGTCTGTAACGAGTGAAAATGGGATGCGGCTCCTTTAACTGTTTCTGTGCCTTTTAGTGTGTTTATGCGTGTATACGATGAAGTATCTGTAACACGAGAAGCGCATGTGCGCGGGAGAGATTTTTATTGTTCTTTTTCTCTCATGCTCGGATTAAGTTATTTTCTATGGTGACAGAATAAAGCACAAGATGTGAGATGAGACCTTTGTGAGCCTGGATTGATTTGTTTTTGATGTTACACTCCAGTTGGGAAATCATTGCTGTATTTTTTTTAAATCAACGCGTTACAGGACGTCTTTCATGCATATGCGGAATATGCCTGTGTAAGTAACATGAATCGTTCACATATCTTTTGCGACTTTATTGTCCGAGTTGTAAAACGCATTGCAAAGCTGCCTATAGAGAGAACCTCTGCCGTCTCCCACAGAGAGACGCAGGTGCTGGCCAAGAGTGCGTGTATGTGTATGTGTGTGTGTGCGTTTACAGCCGTTTGATAAATATAGATTTGTAACGTTAGCTAAGTCGTTAGCGGTTACCATAATTTCCCGTTGTTTACATCTTTGCTACAACACACCGTTAAAGTTAGACACTGTACATGTCATGATCAATTTTAACAAATAAAAACACTTACAGGTCATGACTCAGAGTTCACAGCGTCTCCTTGCTCCATCTTTGAGGAGATTTTAACTGAATCCAGCACTGAACTGGGAGAGATTCTGGAAGCTGTGTTTTGTCAAATCATGCTTGCTATGTATTTTATAGTTCTCTGGAACATAATTAATATTGAACTGTAAGCACTTCTGTGTTTGGGTCGTGTCATTTGGAAGCCCAACAACAGAAACAGAACAGCTCTGTGGAAACAGCAGGATGGCATTTCTCTCTCTGCAGTAACGTTACAGCGCCTCTGGCCACGGCCTTTACCTGCGCAGTGTGGGATGCGCAATAACGAACTTTTGTGATCTCACAGGGGGCGGAAGTATTTTTTGTAGTCCCCAAAATTCGTTAATTGTAGGCGTTGCTAAGCTAACTCTGTACAAATCAAGGTCTCCCTTTGCATTAAACTTTGAATATTTTACATTCAGAGATGCTGTTTATGTTCACACAGCTACATTACACATCAACTGAAGTTTAAAATATAATATCGTAGTGGACCACCCCTTTAAGAAGTCAATTGCCATTGCCGATGGCCGACAAACTTCACGATGCTGGGCCTGCATCACGATCCATCGCCCCGCCCCACATTTATATTGATATATAACTTATTATTTGCATGTCATCGTAATAGCAATAACAGTCTTTTTATGAGCTGTGTTAAATGTTACATATAGCTGCTGCTTGCACGGCTGACAGCATCGTGAGGATTAAATGAAGGATTATACAATACCTCTCGCGCTTAAATGTGTAGATTCAGTGCCAAACACGGTTACCGGCGGACTTAAAGCCACTAGAAGTCTTTTATCCACTCTTGGAAAAGTGTAAATGGTGGATTAACATTCAGCACATGATTACTAATAAGATGTGCCATTATTAATAACTTAAGGTAAACCTGTCTGTTATTTTCATTCTCTCATCTTCAGCGCTTCACATTTTCGCATCTATCCTATCATCTGAAGGCAGAAGGCATTGACTGAGTGATTGACAGCTGATATTAACCAATCATTTGCATTCAGTTGTAGAGCAGTGAGCCAATAAATAGAGCACAAAGGCGGGGCAAGCATTGCAGGCTTTTTTTACTTCAAGTTTACATAACAACTGTTTTAATCTGTTCCTGGTGCTGCGTTTGGCGCTTTTAGGTGCAAAGATGCGTTCTGCATAAATGTCTCCTAAATCTGCGCACGCGGTGAGGATTTTACAGTAAAAACAAATGTATGCACTACAGTGAACTCCAACCGTACTCTCGTCTCCTCCACCAGCTGTAGGAAAAGCCATTCACTCTTTTTTTAACTAGTGACATAAGTATTTTCTTTCTCATTTGTGTTTAAAGGTCTTTAGATTTTGGCATGATGTCTAGCTTTTGAAGCTCTTTTGGTCTACTTCACTTTGTCAGACAGGTCCTATTTAGGTGATTTCTTGATTGCGAACGTGTGTGGTAGTAATCAGGTCTGGGTGTGGCTAGAGAACTTGAAGTTGGTGTGATAAATTAAAGTTGTTCTAATGGGAAATTTTTTAAGTGCCTTTTCACTGAGAGTTTTAATGATTTACTAAAAAGTAAACTTATTTTTATTTCAGACCTAATTAAAGACTACGATGAGAGTAAAGAGGAACATCATGTCAAAATTGAGGACAAAACTCATTTAGTGACTGATGATATTTTAAAAGTGAGAGACAAGAGTTGTTTAACCTGCACTCAGTGTGGAAAGAGTTTGGCAAGCAAAAGCAAACTAAAGACTCACATGAGGATTCACACTGGAGAGAAACCATTCACATGCTATCAATATGGGAAGAGTTTCAGCAAATCATCACTTTATAGACACAAGAAGATCCACACCGGTAAAAAAACATTCACTTGCACTCAGTGTGGGAAGAGTTTTAACTGCTCATCACACCTTAATCAACACATCAGGATCCACACTGGAGAGAAACCATTCAGATGCACTCAGTGTGGGAAGAGTTTTAACTGCTCATCACACCTTAATGAACACATGATGATCCACACTGGAGAGAAACCATTCACATGCACTCAGTGTGGGAAGAGTTTTAGCAAATCATCGTCGCTTTATAGACACATGAAGATCCACACTGGAGAAAAACCATACACTTGCACTGAGTGTAGGAAGAGTTTCAGCCAATCATCATCCCTTAATCTACACATGAGGATCCACACTGGAGAGAAACCATTCACATGCACTGAGTGTGGGAACAGTTTCAGTAAATCATCATCGCTTTATAGACACATGAAGATCCACACCGGAGAAAAACCTTTCACTTGCACTGAGTGTGGGAAGAGTTTCATCCAATCATCATGCCTTAATGTACACATGAGGATCCACACTGGAGAGAAACCTTTCACATGCACTCAGTGTGGGAAGAGTTTCATCCACTCATCACACCTTAATCAACACCTCATGATCCACACTGGAGAGAAACCATTCAAATGCCCTCAGTGTGGGAAGAGTTTTAGCCAATCATACCTTAAAAAACACATGAAGATTCACACTGGTGTGAGAGAGTATATGTGCTTGGAGTGTGAGAAGACTTTTATTACAGCTGCAGAATTGAAACGGCACAAGAGGATACACACTGGAGAAAAACCGTACAAGTGTTCACAGTGCAGTAAGAGGTTTGCTCACTCAGGAACCCTGAAAACACATGAGAGGATTCACACTGGAGAGAAACTGTACAAGTGTTCACACTGCAGTAAGAGGTTTGCTCACTCAGGAACCCTGAAAGCACACCAGAGGATTCACACTGGAGATAAACTGTAGACGTGATCAGTGTGTATTAGGGTTGGTTAACGAAACCCGGTGCCATTTTAGCACCGCTACCTTGGTAACTGGTATGTATTGGTATTAAATCAGCATATGAATTTCGGTGCTTAATTTCGGTGCTGCGGCATGAACGTGAGGGGTGCATGAAAAGGCACATAGGCATTGTGTCACAGCATCACTAAACATTTAATTCTAAACAACTTTGAGGAATACGGACAAGCGATATTAAGCAATTGTTATTGTCGCTAGGGAACAGATGCACGCAACGCACACAGTACAGCGCATTTAGCCTGGAACCAGTGGTTTTTGGTGAGCGAGAGCAACACTCTTCAGATCAACATGTGTGATCACGTTCATCCAATTTGCCTAAACTAAGCATTCTAAAGCATATTTTACAAGCAAGGATTCTTACACAGCAACTGTCTTTACAAAAGTGTGTGTAACGTTAAGAGGGAAACATGTCAAACTTAATGACACATGTAGAACAGATGTAACACATTGATCAAATGTAGTTTTCAGTCACGCTCATGTAAGTCATATTCAACTGATTTCCGTCTTGAACACATGATTTATTTACTACACATTTTTAAACATAATAGTTTAACTAACTCGTTTTTAATATCTAACGTTACTTTTTTATGCTGACAGTCAGTGCAGAACATTTTACTAGTTATTTTGCAAGACAAAGTCCCTTTAAGTGTTTATTAGTCTTTTATTCAGATTAAAGGGTAATTTAGACTTAAAGGGGTGGTCCACTATGATCTCATATTTTAAACTTTAGTTGATGTGTAATGTAGCTGTGTGAACATAAACAGCATCTCTGAATGTAAAATGCTCAAAGTTCAATGCAAAGGGAGACCTTGATTTTTAGAGTTAGCTTAGCAAAGCCTACAATGAACGAATTTTGGGGACTACAAAAAATACTTCCGCCCCCTGTGAGATCTCAAAAGTTTGTTATTGCGCATCCCACACTGCGCAGGTAAAGGCCGTTGCCAGAGGCGCTGTAACTATACTGCAGAGGGAGAAATGCCATCCTGCTGTTTCCACAGAGCTTCTCTGTTTCTGTTGTTGGGCTTCCAAATGACACGACAGAAGCACAGAAGTGCTTACAGTTCAATATTAATTATGTTCCAGAGAACTATAAAATACACAGCAAGCATGATTTGACAAAACGCAGCTTCCAGAATCTCTCCCAGTTCAGTGCTGGATTCGGCTAAAATCTCCTCAAAGATGGAGCAAGGACACGCTGTGAACTGAGTCATAACCTGTAAGTGTTTTTATTTGTTAAAATTGATCATGACATGTACAGCGTCTAGCCTTAACGGTGTGTTGTAGCAAAGATGTAAACAACGGGAAATTATGTTCATCGCTAACGACTTAGCTACAAATCCATACTTATCAGTCAAACGGCTGTAAACACACACACATACACAAACATACATGCACGCACTCTTGGCCAGCACCTGCGTCTCTCTGTGTGAGATGGCAGTGTGTCTCTTATGTGTGTGCACGACTGCACTGATTGTCTTTAGGCAGCTTTTCCATGCGTTCAACTCAAGACAATAAAGTCGCAAAAGATATGTGAACGAATCATGTTACTTACACAGGCATATTCCGGATATGCGTGAAAGACATCCTGTAACGCATTGATTAAAAAAAAAAAAAAATGCAGCAATGCTCTCCCAACTGGAGTGTAACAGCAAAAACAAATCAATCCAGGCTCACACGGGTCTCATCTCACATCTTGTGATTTAATCTGTCACCACAGAAAATAACTTAATCCGAGCATGAGAATAAAAAGAACAATAAATATCTTGCGCACATGCACATCTCATGTTACAGACACTTCATAGTATATACACGCACACACATAAACACACTAAATGGCACAAAAACACTTTTAAAGGAGCCGCATCCCATTTTCACTCGTTACAGACACGTGTTAACTGACTGACTGTTTACACACAACGCGCGTGCTTCTCCGGGCGTGATGTGGAGCCGATCGGCGAATCACAGCACATTATGATGATGACCAATCAGAGTCACTTGAGGGTGGGCCTTTTAGAGGAACTAGGCAATATGACAGTCGTTTTCATGTTAGCTGAGTAGCTGTGTATAATCAAAGTGAGATATATGAAAAAATAACATGATTTCCTTCAAGTTAAACATGAGCACACATTGCTTTGCATCTTATTAACACAACCAAGCCTTAAAAATACATTCTGGACCACCCCTTTAATCAGTTCACTACGAAAGTTAAAATAATTCGTCAAATTATTTTGTAACTGATTTGTTGTGTAAATCAAAAATATACAGTAAATATTTCTTAAGGAGGCTAATAATACTGACCTTATTATTATTTTTTTTTAATTAAAAACGGCTTTTATTCATGAAATAAACAATAAGAAATAGGACTTATTATGACTCCAGAATAATTATGTTTTAGGAAACACTGTCAAAGTTTTCAGAAACATTATTTTAAATGAATAGGAGGGCAAAATGAATCGACTTCAACTGTAGGCCTGTTGAAGTTTATAGGTGCAACAATGTGCCTTGATGTACTTGAATGTTAGAAATGTGTTATCCTACACCAACGTTACTTGTCAAATAAATGAACAAGGAAGATTATTTTGAGTTTAAGTTATTTAATTATCTTGTTTATGAAGACTGCAGAGTGATGCATGAAAACAAATGACTTTGAATAATGTTTTAAGTATTTTGTGATATATTTGTTAAAATGTGCTCCTAAAATTACGTGGCCCCTGCCAGCCCCCCACAGGTTAAAAGGAAGCTAATGTAATTTCATAATGCAAATCTTAAATTCATGCTAACCAACAAATGATCAAAGGAAATGTATTAATGTAATACAATATGAATTGATGTTTACATTAAACTGTAATTATGTTGTTCTATTAAAATTATTTAAAAAAAGAAAAATTTGTCAAATAAAATTTTTTTGAAGAGTCATCCACCATCATTTTGTGGCTAAAAAAAAGTATCGATTCAGGCACCGTTTTGGCACCGGTATTGTTTTAAAAGTATCGATTTAGCACCGGTATCGAAAAAAAAAAAAACGATTCCCAACCCTAGTGTGTACAGAGTTTCACTCATTCGGGGCAGCTTGAGAAACACATGGGATGGTTTCCAGTATGGTGTTGACACATGTAGCAGCATAGAAAGAGAGCTCCCATACACACTGGTATTAATCCTTCTTTTTACATCATATATGATAACCTAAACCATATTTAAATAACATGGAGTGCAATAGGCACAGCAAGAAAGGGCTTTTTAGAAAAGGAAGGCTTTCCTCTCACATTAAGAAGTTATTTAAGACTTCAAGGTTTGGAGATCTTTTTCGTAATAATTTTTATGTGGTTCAAGATATTCACGTTTGTGTTTTTCGTGTTCCGATCAGTGATCTTCGCAATAATATCTGATTATAGTATATGCAAAAACAGAAATATAGAGTAATTACTTTGAATATTAATGGGTTACTAAATCCGATTAAAAGAAGCAAACTTAAAATTAAAAGAGAAAACCAACAGATAATCTTCTGGCAAGAGACGCATCTTTCTGATACAGAACATAGGAAATTAGAAACAATGGGATTTAGGGTTTTCTTTTCCTCATATAATAATGGTCGTAAACGAGGAGTAATGACATTGATCTCAAATAAAATCAACTTCCAATTAATTTCTAAGATTACTGATAAAGAAGGGCGATATAACTTAATTAAAGGAACTATCAACCAAAACAAAGTTACATTAGTTAGTATATATAGACCACCTGAAAAAGACAAAGCATTTCTCAAAAAAATAGTAAGTGTTATAGCCAAGAAGGCATCAGGAATGTTGATCTGTGGGGGAGACTGGAATGTACAACTTCATCCTAAATTGGACACTTCTTCTAATAAGCAAATTAGTCAAGAAACTAGACAAATAAGATTTTTGATGAAATAATTAGGCTTGATAGATGTATGGAGAGACATATACACTCTTAAAAAGGAATATACTTTCTTTTCTTCCACATGTCTCATTCTGGAATTGATTTATTTATTTATTTATTTTTTTTTTTTTTAGCTCAGATCAACATAAAAATAAAAGACTGTAAAATAGGAACAAGGGACATCTCAGAGTATGCAGGAGTATATTTAACAGTTTACCTGGACATTAAACCCAAAAAGACATTTTGGCGATTTAACCCTTATCATTTGAATGATTTAACATGTGTAGAATATGTTAAAAAAAGAACTATAAGAATATTTAAAACATAATGATAATGCAGAGGTGTCACCTAGTATCATATGGGACGCAGCTAAAGCTGTTACGCGAGGTAAACTTATAATGTGGGGATCAAGGGAAAAAAAAAACTGAATTACATAAATAATCTAAATATACAACTTGAAGAATTAGAGACTAAATATGGTAATAAGAAAGATCCAGATATTTTAACAATAGGGTTAGGGTTAAAGAAGTTAAAGCAAAACTCAATAAAATGTTTGATGAGCAAGTACAAATAAAACTTACATTTTAAAATTTTATGAAAATGGTCCAAAAAGCTCCTGGCATGAAGAATAAAGAAACGACAGGCAGAGAGGAGGATATTTAAAATCAAAGATTACAAAACTAAAATGATATGTCAGACATAGATGGCTTCTCTGCAGAATGGTATAAAATATTCAAAGAACAATTGATGTAAATGCTTTTTGAATGCTGTAATCATACCTTACATGAGTAATAACTTACATCTGATATAACAACATATCAGATATGTTGGAGTTCAAATCGCTGCATACCTATAAGATATCTATAAAATAAAATAATTCCCCATTACAGAAACCATGAAAAAGTTTTTGAACAGACGGCTCCTTCAACCTTTAGATCTATACAATTGAATAGATAATAAGGATGAATATATTACCAAGCCTACCTTTTCTGAATTGGAAGGTTTTCAACAACTTTCAAATATATATATATATATATATATATATATATATATATATATATATATATATATATATATATATGTAACTTGGATAAACAAGACTTTTTCCATTACCTTCAAGTTAGACACTACTTCAATAAAAGCATAAGAGATTCAGAAGACATAAAAACAACAGGAGTGCAGGTATTTATAAATGCTTACAAAAAATAAAGATTAATAAAAAAAACTAGTATCAAGAATTTATTCCTGTCTGACATTAACAAAGAAACACTCAACAATGTGTATCAGACAGAAATGGGAAGGAGAAGCCAATATAATAATAGCAAATGAGGAATGGTTAACTATTTGGGAAACACAGATGATTACAATTAATTCATAGAGGGTATTTATTAGGAAAATGTAATCAGGTTCTTTATGACATCTAAAATAAAATACTTTTAAACTAGAGATCAAAATATGGTGAATGATGGAGAAAATGTGAAAATGTATTGGAAGATCATTTCAAAATATTTTGGAACTGTAATATTATACACAAGATTTAAATAGAGATAAATCTAATTATGGGATTAATGTAATTTTAAAACTATGTACCTGAGAATTTACTCTGCAGAAATACCAAAAATGATGTGTATCTTCTTAACACACTACTAACAACTAGCAAAAAGGCCATTACAAAGAAATAGCTCAAGGAAGATCCTCCATCTGTAGGCGAATGGTACAGTATGATATTGTTAAAGAGGTGTATGACATAGAAGTACTGACATTTAACTTCAGACAACAAGCCTATACAATTTCTGCATACTGGGGTAAATGGTTGAGAAGAAAAGTCTTGTTTTAATTTCATTGTGGTGCTTTTATTGTTTACATGTTTGGAGCCTGTTGATCTTTGACATGTAACCCGTTTTTTATTGCTCTTTTGTTTTGTTCTAAACTGTTTTGAAAAAGGAAAAAATAAAAGTTGGCTCATGTATCATCATCATCCTGACGCAAGCTCACAGCGTTCAGCATGTAGTTTTGCTGCTGTTAGATCAAAAACAACAGCTGCCATTCATGTTCAAACACTCCAAAAATAATTATATTAGCCTGTCTGTCTTTATAAATAATGTCTTACATTTTACAATGAATTCTGTCCAAAATAGATTGACTTTTTTCTCTTTGCTAAAATAAATTATTATTGTATTTGACTGTAACTATCTTAATTATCTTAATTAGGCTAGCTGCCTTATTCTCTTCAAAGAGCAGCTCTCATACAGAGACCATTATTTCAGTGTTTTTCCAGGATGTTGTGGATATTTGTGGATTCCTTCTTTTTTGTCTCGGCTGATCACATGGAAAAAGAAAAATGACTTTTCCAGGTCATATTCCTTTTTTTCCCTTATTTTTTTTAGCTATCATGTCATTTTCAGGTGAAGGGGAAAAAGTGTTGCACTTATCTGAAAAAGCTTCATATGTTTTAAATAATGAAGTGTATTTCTTTTTTCTTTTAAAGTATTACACATTTTTAAATGAAATTGTTGGAATGATTTGTTAAATAAATGCCAAACACAGTGTCTAAGTTATTTTATTACTTTTATTTAATAATAATTAGTTTAAAAAGCATAATATGAATGCACTGAAACAGAACTGTGTGATTCTGGGTCATTTCTGCAACTTTTTATTAAGAATGTGAAATAACGGCACAGTAGAAGACTGTATATATAATAGTAATATCAAGTAATAACAACACTAAAGAAAATAAACAACTTCCAGTACATACAAGTGCAACCAAATGAACAAAATCTGAACATTAATCAAACAACATAGAGACAACATAGGTAATGAAGAATTAAGATGCCAGGTTAATTCTCAGCAGTGAGGTCCATGTCTGCTGACCATAAAAGCCTTGGTAATCTGAAACAAAAAGAAGACGACAACCAGAAAGTGCTCAATAATTTGGTTGAAACTTAAAGATGGGTGTAAGGGAGGGTTAAGAGCAGTTTGAGCGTACTTACCAGGCTGTAATTCCACATGTGTTGTACAGAATCCTGAGAGAGAGGAGAGAATATGGAGTAGCCTACTCACACTCTCACTATTGCATAAAGAAAACTTATGAAAAAAAAGAGCAAAAGACAAGAGAAAATACAATTCTCTGGAAGTAAAGGTGAATGGTTTGTAAGGCCCACTCATTCAACCTATTACAACCAAGTCTCTATTTGGAGAGCAATGTTGTTGCTTGGCAGTGCAGAAAGAGTACTGGGTACAGGGTGAGAGGAGCAGTGATGGTTGTCCATCACTGAGAAGAGAATATGGCCACAGGTGGAAACTTGGAGTTGGACATGTTAGAAGTGAGTCAGTATGGAGGATGGAAAGATGTTGTTTTACATCCAGTCCAATTCCAGCCCTTTCCCGGCAAAAGATCTCCTCTTTGAGCCATAATCATAGAGTAACTCCTCATCACTCGAAATGTCTTTTGTAGCAATGAAGAGAATGATGTCTCTATCATTAAGGACATACAGCCTGGGCCGGATATTGGCTCTTTTGCTGGAGTGACGGATCAGGCGTCCATAATTGAACTTCATGGGATGGCACTGGCAACTTTCTTCATGTGCGTCAATGCACATGGCTTCATGTTGCTTGTTCCTATAAAAAAACAAATGGCCAGCTCTGATGCTGCTTGTCGAAGCTATTGCCATCCCATCTTCATGGCTAACCAGCTCGCCGTGGTATTCACAGACAACCTCCCCGATCTGAAATGGTCTTTTGGTGAAAATACCATCGCCCTTGTCAGGGACGGGCCTGACAGTCAGTCCTTTCCAGCGTTGAGACAAAATCATTTTTTTCACAAAGCTGCTGTCGATGACCAAGTCCAACCTGGCAACAGGCTTCCACTGCTTCAGAACCACTGCAGCCTGTGGGACGTTTGACGTCCACCCTTGTTTGTCCATCCAGCGGCTTATTTTGGACTCTGATGGCTGCTGTCCAGTAAAGTGTTCTAGAAACACAAAACACATCAGTATTCGGCTATTCTCGCTCAATTCCCCTGTTTGTGTCATTAATCATCTGTATACTCACCGAGAGCATGCTGTTCACGCAGCTTGAGCTGCTCGCTACGCCAGCGGTCATAGCAGTGCCTCTCATGTTCTGAGCCACACAGCTCAGTCCTGCGTGACCTTTTTGGAGGAGGCCCCTCCAGAGTCACTGGACAGAACTGCTCAAGAGTTTTGTAGGCCGTCTGTTCGTCCACCCTTGTCTCACAGCAGGAAGCTCTACTGGACCTTTGTCTATAAGATCATAAAAAATAAATATTGAAGGAAGGAAAGGCGAGGCTGTGGGTTGCAAATTTAAAAATAAGGATCATCCCAGTTGTTAGATGCTTACGGTGTTTTCCCAGCAAGCTGATCTAGCACACTTAGAGCCAGAAACGGATCTGAAGACGTTCTCCTCATGTAGTTCCTTTCAGCTGCCACATTTCTCTCCACTTCTGACAGGTTTTGTGCTGCTGCCTCAAATGCTCTCTGGGCATCGCCACACGTCACACTGGGAAGACTGTATCTGAAACACAAGGCATCGTAAGAAGGCAAAAAGTGGACGGATGAACATGTAGAGTTAAAGACAGGTGTAATGTTGCTTACTTGTCATGTAGTCTTTTTAAGTCGTTGGAGGGATTATAAATCGATCTCCCACTACTTGACACAAAAAATGAATCAACTGCCACATTGTCGCCGGTGCGGTTTTCTTGCAGCATTACTGGCCGCACCTCATTGAAGTACAAGTTGAACCACTAGTTAAAGAAAGGAAAAAAATAAGTCTAAATTTGACACAATACATTTATTGCTGTTATTATATAAAAGACTATATAAACTTACAAGTTCCTGTTCGTGTGACAACGGTACTTTGTGCTCCTTCACTGCAACACAGACACCATTCTCTATACGGCTCCTCCCCTCCCAATCCTCAACCTGCAAACAGGCAGTTTTGCACATTGATGAAGCATATAAGAACAAAGAAGACAATGTACGGAAAAACAAACACTTACAGTCATGTGTGTCACAATTCCAGGCCGCTGGACTAGCTTCAGCATGATAACAGCCTCCAGGTAGTACAGGACGAGCAGCCGTTCATTTTTAGTCAAACAGTCCCCTGTGATGGCTCCTGGACCCTGCATTTTGCATATCACGGCCTGGAAATCTTTGAATGCAGCCTCCAAAACAGCAAGGCAGTCCTTTGGCAAAACTTCTTTGCCACAACCAAACTCTGATTTTTTTGCTGTGACCTCCATGCTCACTTCTTTGGACATGCCACTCTGTATTCCATACAGCACATCCATAAAACTCTCACAGTCCTGGAACAAAGCTGGATTGTTGTGGCGAATGTCCGTGGAGGTAATAATGTATTTCATGAACCTTGAAAAGAGATCAACATTGGGTTTGTTACAGTCAGAACACAGCACAGATGACATGATTAGTTAACATGTACATGGCACACTTGTGGTGGTTCCACATTACTGACCTCTTGAGACTCTTCGAGTAGTTGAATACTGTCCATTTTGAGAGCTTTGTATCTGACAAGATGTTAAAGTACTCTCGCACTTTCTCCACCCGCCGAACAAACATCAAGTTTGGCTCAGTGGGGTCCATGTAATGCAAGAACCTGGACACTGTTTCCACCTAAAAGCACACATTTCACAATAAAATAAACTGTACTGCATAAAACAACACCCATTCACTCATTTTTACATATATAATTTCACTTGAACTTACTACTTGTTTGCTGTTTTTATATCCTAGATCAGTGTAAAGGTACTTATTAAATCCTGCTAGAAGGGGGTGGTCAATGGAGTGCTTGTTGTATAAGCCTTTTTTGACCATCTCCACCCTCACGGAAGAGGTCCACATCGGTCCACCAGTGCTGAAATAGAAAAGCAGGTGATCAAAATGACTTTGTATATTAAAGAGAAGTCATATCCGCAGTGTATATTTACTTTCTGGGAATGCTGATATAAAAGTATACCTCTGATAGTACTCTCCCGAGCTCTCGTCGGATAAGGACTCATTTGGAGGCTCCAATGAACTTTCTGCACCTTCTCCAGAGCTTTGAGGCACAGAAGATGTTGTCGACCGAGCTGGTTCCGGGAGGACTGAAGGTAAGTTATTAATCACCAACCCCTTTGACTGCATCTCCGCAATCATCCTAAAACAAGGAACATAAAATAAGGTCAAATAAACAATACCAAAAATGTATGTTTATTATTATATGCAGATGTTAGATTTGAAGTCAGATACATAAAATAAGATAAGCACAACTGAATACAAACCTGGCCAGAGGATTAGTAGAGTCCAATATGTCACAAATTTTTCCAAACTCCCAGAAACGTCCTTTGTGACAGAATTCAGACAACTCCTTCTTGGCCTCTTTAACGACAGCCTGGATCTCTGCTTCTGTGCTGTTCCTCATACACACCTTCCTGAGATGCCCAGGAAGAGAGTGAGGAGCCTTTTTGCACACAGGACAGAGGAAAAACATCCTGCTGTGGAAGGATCTGTGTGGATAATAAAATCAAAATGTTATACAATGAAGAGACCAAGAGCAGTTTTGGTAAGGTTTGGGGTCCACCACACCCCACCCCCAACTCCAGGTAAAGAAACAAAGAAATGAGCACACAAACACACACAGCAATGTCTGCCGGATATTTTGATTAGAGTTTTAAGACAAAACTTAATTTCATATTAATATAATACTGTTACTAACCATATTATTTTAAACCTATTTAATAATATGACATTTATTATGAGAGAAGAATTAAATTGTCTCAATTATTTCTTAAACCAAGATCATACCAGCAGTTAGGATTTACAAGTCAAATATAAAATAACAACACAACTAGTGTACAAACTGCTCTCCTCTCACAAATATCTGTCCTCTTCAGAGGTTTTCTAAACTTCTAAATTAAAAAGTTTTTTTTTTATTTATTTATCTAGAAGTACTAAGTTCTAGAAGACTCTTTAGATTTTTAAAGATTTGACTTCCACAAACCTAACTAACTCCACTGATAAAATGATACAAGCTAAACTGAGTTTAAGAAGCCTGCTGCATAAGGCGTACTGACTAAATGTACTTACTGTTTAGAGGCCATTTCTGATGTTGAAATGTGAGTTCTGTCCACTGGTCAAACGCAGCAAGCTGTAGTTGAAAGTGATACGACTGTAATTTTACTAAGATGAGATGGGCCTCTTTAACCTGAGCTGGCAGCAGGTCAACAGCCTATCAGGAGACAGCATCCAACAGCAGCCCAATCTGCCCATCCCCAGGTGTTAATGGCCCAATAGGAGCAGAAACAACTTTAAAACAGTTACTACAACTGATCTAGGCATATGTTTCGGTGTATTTAAAAATATAGAGTCTTTTTTCTGACTTTGAGTACTTTTATATTTCACAACACAGATGCAGAAAATATATTGTCCTAAAGTTCGAAACAGTACACATGCAAGGAAAATCTATTTAAAAATACACAATTCATGTGAAAACATACATATAAAACAGAAAACAACAACAAAACATAAAATACAGTACAAGGATAAAATAAATCAAGTTAAATGAAAGTCAGCTGTTTAATATCCATTCAAAGATAAAAGCTAAAATAATTATATATTTAATTTTCAGTAATAATGATTAATAGAGTTTTGTGTGTGTGTGTGTGTGTGTGTGTGTGTGTGTGTGTGTGTGTGTGTATTTGTGTGTGTGTGTGTGTGTGTGTGATTTTAAATAAGTTAACAATTAAGTAAAAAAATTGAACAGTAAAACTGATTAACCATTTGCTTTGTAAGATTGTGTTGTTAAAGCCTCCTGAGAGAGCATGTAGAAGATATGAACAGTCTTACAGTGAATAGCGATTTCTGATGAAGTATATAATTATAAGAGTTTGTGTTAGGCTCTTGAATTTCACCAAATAAAAATAAAGAGAGAGAGAGACTTGTAACACATTTTAGAGCAGATTTATACTTTGTTTGGTGATGGATACAATGAATAAAATAGAATATAATTGTATTTTCTGATGGATGTCTGCTCTAGGATTGAGTAACACATATCCTTTCTTATGTCTTAATGATTATTAATAAAGTTGAATGTTTAAGATCCTTGATTATATGATGACCATGATGTCCTCCCTCTTTAGAGTAAATCTGGAGTAATGTGTGCGTGATTGTTTTTCTGTATGCCGAATCATTTGTTTCCTCAGGATCTACCCAGCCAGGTCAGAGGTCATGGAGACCTCTCGAGTGGACCTGGAAGAATAGGAAACAACTCTTTCCTGAGTTGTTTGCCACTTCAATTTAAATCTTTTAAAATTAATTTAATTGCTTTGTATGTAAGCTGCCACTTTGGATGTTAAATGTATTTTTAATATATATTATTCCTATATTGTTACATATATGTAGGAACAAAATATGTTGTTAATAATATACATATAAACTGTACATACACATTTTATTGAAACATATTTTTTCTCACATGTATACTGATCTAAACTTGCAATAGTTGGCCGGTGTGGGTGTTAACGGTACTAATTTGCTAATGTTGCTGGGTGATGGAGGTATGAAAAGTCTCGTTAGCAACTTGTTGTTCTTACATGAATACTGATCTTAACTCTTAATGGCTGGAGTGAGTGTTAACGTCTCTAATTTGCTTATGTTTTGCTGTGGATATATGAATGGTCTCGTTAGAAAGTTATTGTTCTAAATCATAATGTTGGTGCATTGGTGGTAATAGTCAAATGCAAGCTTTCCCGAATTACTGCCAGAATTTTATAAAAAAAAAAAATTAAAAAAAATGTTTTGTGTTGTTGACCTGTTGGTCGAGGCTAATACAATTACTCCTGTGTTTTCCATTGTACACATAGACCGGTATAAGATTCTGGTATGATAACCTTGGATAAAAAATCAGTATCTCAATATTGTGATTACTGCTCTAAAATATATTATTTTTAAATGTCTGAGTAAAAACAAAACCTTTTCCCTTTTGAGTACGATATATTTAATTTGAAGAAACATTTAAAAGTTTTTTGGAATAGTAAAGATGGTAATAGTAAAGAAAGAAAATGAATTATTGGCTTCTGCTGTCTTTATTAGCTTCAAAAACTTCTTTACATTTTAAAATGGCATCTTTGGATATCTTTTGTGCTGGAGATACTGTTGTACTAAAAAAAAAACGTAATTAAAAAAAAAAAAAAAAAAACTTTACATACACCGTATGAACGATACAGCAGAAACCTTTGGCAGTTTTAAAACCTTGACTTTTCCAAACTGCGTTATACATTGGAAATGGTTATTGTCCTGTGTCTATTCCATTGTATTGAAACATTACACAAACGTGTTTGTGTGCGTGTGTGTGTGTGTGTGTGCATAACTATGTAAACCAAACCCTAACACATACACACACACACACACACACACATTTTAATTTCTAATCTATTTTGTGTGTGTGTGTGTGTATAAACCAATAGATTAGAACAGCGAATGTGTGTGTGTTAGGGGTAGGTTTACATGGTTATGCAAATAAGTTAAGAGGCATTTAGTCATTTACTGAATTTTGCATAAATAACGGTGTCATAGTCTTAGAAGATCATACATGCATTGGAGAATATTTGAGGTATGACTGAATCAAGGGAAATGACAATATGTGTGGCACATTAAAAATGAGTTTAAATTTCTGTGGTGTCCGAGCGCCATCTCCTGGTTGATGTCAGTAGTGGAAAGTGTTGCTTTCAGTTTCACTTTCATTTGGAAATAAACAGCGTTAAAGGGTTCTGCTAATAGTTTAGATATTTCCATCAAGGGTAATACCCTTTAAGCTCAATTTTTGTAAACTGATTTGATAAATGTAACGATTTTTTCTGTTAAAGAATAGTTTTGTTTTGTATAACTGCTCATTCATGATGGCTGATTTCATCAGGAGAACATTATTATGTGATAAAACACCCTGCTCAAGATTTAAATGAGAGAGTCAAGGAGATTTTGTTTTTACTGTTTTACAAAAAAGAATTAAGATTTTAAAAAAGACAGATCTTCAAACTGCATCTGTGGTTCTTTATGCTTTTATGTTGCTGACTGAACAGTCAGGCAGCCAGTGTTAGTGAGGCCAGTACAAACTGTTTTCTTGATAATTGTCGTTTTATATGTCATTTATTCTTGTGATTCACAGCTGCATTTTCAGCATGGAGATCTGCTGTTTTTCTATGATCTGATGTTATTGGTCACTAACAATGATTCTTACAATTATTAAAAAGAAAGTTTAAAAGTTTTGCAAGTTTTTTAAACATTGTACATGTATTTATAATGTTTAAAGTAATGCAAATTATTTAGAAAATTATTATTTTTAACTTTCATTTTTCAAGTTTCACAAAACACACATGGAGATTTAAAAATCAAAGTAGGAGATTTACCAAACAGCTTATTACAGAAAGTAAATTAAATAAATTACAGTAAAAATAACTTAGTTGCTGAATTGCTCATTTAAACTGACTTTAATTCATTGAAAATCCTTGATGATATAATTAGAAATAGAGAGATTATTCAGAATGATGGAGTAACAGCCACCTTAATTTTAAGCTGAAAAAATATTCTCAGTTTATCTAAAACCAGTAAAGCTTGGCCATGAATTAAATTGACTTGAAGCTCTTTAGTTGACTAAGAAGTTCTACAGTGAACTACTGAATACACCTTTTTAAGTTCACAGCTGTCACAGTCAGACCAGGTACTCCACCCTTCCTGATTCCTCATCTGGTCATCGTCTTGTTCGTCTTTGTTTCTGTTCCAAGACCCACCACTGCAACGAAAATAACCCACCACTGCACCCACAATAACCCAGCACTGCAGGGGGCTAGCACTGTAAAACAGCATGGTTGTCTTGCACTAATTTGTTCAAGACTTTGAAACTCTTAAAACACATGGTGTATATATTGAACAGTTAGGAGATTGTGTAAAAGGAAGTGTGTTTTTTGTGTCATCTGATAATCTAGGTGCTCATTCCATTTGCAGGACTACAGGAGAGTTCCACAGATAAACACACATGTCGATTTTAAATTGCCAGGAGGTGTGAAATCCAGAAAAAGGGGTCAAGTCAGGATCATTCAAATTGAAAACCAAATGTTTTTAGTGAACAGTTGGAAAAAAGTATGTTCGATAAAAAATACAGACTGTGGAATGTATTTTCAACAGAAATATTCTGTAAACTGAATTTACAAATACAAAATGTTTAAAAACAGCAGATTATTGTCAACAGCTGCTGGTATTTTTCTGTAAAATTAAGAAAGGAAAAATAAAACAGCAAAACGTTTTTTTTGTGTCACTATTGTGGAGGATAGTAGTGTCTGTGTTCAAGTCCAAGATGAACAAAATGTATTTGATGTTATGCTGCATCTTCTTTTGTTTAAAGGTAACTGTGTAGTTACTAATGCAGTCAAAATCTGGTCGCTAACTGCAATCACACATGAACATATTAATACATCTAATGACTTTACACTTTTGTGCACTAAGCTATGATTTTGTAAACTAAAAATTGTATCAGTTCATGAAATATGGTAATTTTTCGTAAATGTATACAGAAATATTCTGGTAAACACAGCTGCTGGTATTTTTTCGTAAATTAAACCGATATTTTACACTATAAGAGTTTGCCAATTAACACTCTCTCAGTGTTGATAATTTTATTTTTAAAACTTTTATAGTGGTTCCCATAAAAAATCTGATGGAGTGTTAATTATAACTCTTAGGTAGTTAAATCTACTCTCTAAAATTTGCAGTGTATAAGTTATTGGTTATAGTAGGACTGGACCAGGGGTGCTCAACCCTGTTCCTGGAGATCGACCTTCCTAAAGAGTTCAGCTCAAACCATGATCAAACACACCTGAATCAGTTAATTAGGACCTGAACAGCACTTGATAATTACAGGCAGGTGTGTTTGATAAGGGTTGCAACTGAAATCTACAGGAACAGGGTTGGTCACCCCTGGACTGGACTATATGGCTTTTTTTTATTTCCATAAAAAACTTTTCTTTTTGTCCTGTTGTAAACAACTCAACAAACATCATCTTTTCTTATTGTTAACATACATGACTTTATTTCTGTCAGATGTCTACTAAATTGCACAACATATTACTTTGTTTAATGCCAAAATTATTGTGAACAGTGTTTGCTTTACAAGGGAACTTTGGTTTACTATGGTTACTTCTAATGTTTAAGGGAAGTGTATTAATTTTGAACTTTGATCAAAACTGACTGGAATTACCTGTGCATTCAGTTCATACATTATATAATATTATATATAAATAATATACTATAATGCATATTAAATTAGGGAGTCGCAGTGGCGCAGTAGGTAGTGCTGTTGCCTTACAGCAAGAAAGCCACTGGTTCGAGCCTCGGCTGGGTCAGTTGGCATTTCTGTGTGGAGTTTGCATGTTCTCCCTGCATTCACGTGGGTTTACTTCGGGTGCTCCGGTTTCCCCCACAAGTCCAAAAACATGCGGTACAGGTGAGTTGGGTAGGCTAAAAAATTGTCTATAGTGTATATGTGTGAATAAGTGTGTATGAATGGTTTTCCAGTGATGGGTTGCAGCTGGAAGGGCATCCACTGTGTAAAACA